TTTCAAAACCCGCCTCTCGGGGGACATGCCCTGCCGCGAGGCCAAGAGCGGCACCTACCTGCCCGGCGGCGAGTGCGGGTTCCAGGCCCGCGTGCGCGGCCTGCCGAGCGGAGGAGCCCGCGCCCCGCCGCGGGCTGCGCGGCGTGCAGGGGGGCCTCGCGGGGGTCAGGGGCATCGCGTGCGGAGGGGGGGCTTTCTCACGGCACCGCCCCAGAGATCCGATCGCCTAGACGTAAGAGTGACCTTTCGCCGGAGTGACCTTTGGTGCGGGCCACATGGGGTCCCCCGATCGCCGAACGTGAGGCGACAGTGGCGTCTTGCGCGCTTGTGTTTGGCCCCCCCCGCGGCCCTCCAAAGGCCGCGCACCAAAGGTCACTCTTACTCAGGGTCACTCTTGCGTGTAGCCGATCCGAGGATGTGATCTTCTCAATCCAGGCGGGTTTCCTCGATTTCGGCTTCCAAGGCCGGTTGTCGGGCCCGGGCACCATCAAAAATGGATCCGGGATGGAAAACCACCCCCCGCGGGGAAGGGGTCGGGACCTCTGGGGCCGTGGATCGGAAAAATCAGATCGGCGGATATCTGGGGAGGTCCGAGATGTTCGGACGGTTTCGATGGTTCTCGTCGGTTTTGCAGCCTCGGGGTGCCTTCCAGCGGGTGCGCCTCGCCGAGAGTGTCCCAGGGTTGCCCGGATCGTCCCGAACGGCCGTCGCAGGCTTGAGTTACGAGCCGAAAGCCGCCAGGCGTCGAAGAGGTCAGGGGCAACGTCACGGGGGGATAAGCTCAGGGGGGATGCGCTGATAGGGGCCAGATAGCCCGCCCTGCCCTGGTCAGTGCGGCTTCGCTATCGTGGGCCTATCGCCGATCTATCGGCGATGTATCGCCCAGTCCAGGTCGATGCTTGCCCCCGTGAGCCGGTCCCCCCCTGGCGTTCCCCTTCGATCAGGGGGATCGAAGCGGGGACGGACAGCATTGGGACGAAAACCAGCGCAGCTTCTGCACATCTTGGGCAGGTCCTGCTGTCGGTGTCGACGCGGTCGCTGTCTGTTTGGGGCAGGCGTCACCTGCCCGGGGGGACGTAATGAGTGGAAGCGAGCGTGCGCCCGCGGCCGCCTTGGCTCAAAGCGGCCGGCCGCCCAGATTTGACTGTGCCTCACCGAGAGGCACACTATCGAAATTGATCCTAAAAGGCAACCCCTTTTACTTGACATGGCATCCCCTCTTGCATTGGGACTATCGCTATTACGATACAACCGAGCTGGTGCTTGGCTTCGCCTGAGGCGAAGCTGTTGGCTGGGCCTCCCAGCCCCCGTCAAACTAAACCATCGCGCGCTTCGCGCGCGCTCAAGTTCTAGTTCGGATCATCATCATCGTCATCACCGTCATCCTCATCCCCATCATCTTCATCGTCATCATCATGGCCATACAACCACCATCGGCATCGTCATCGTCATCATCGTCATCGTCATTTGCATCATCATCATCAGATTCATCTTCATCATCATCATCAGCATCACAACCACCATCATCATGATCATCATCATCATCATCATCACCATAGTCATCATCACCACCACCACCATCATCATCATCATTATCATTTTCATCTTCATCATCCTCCGCATTATCAGCATGTGTTTCGTCATCGTCGGCGCCGTCGTCGGTATAGTCATCGTCATCATCAGTGTCATCGCCGTCATCATGCCTGGTCTACTGCAGTCCCCTGCCCCGCCTTCTCGTTCCCGTTCTACCTCTCCCCATCCCTCCGTCTATCGCGGCACACCCTTCACACAGTTCTATTGGAAGCTGTTTGGGGGCGTCGTGGAAGCGTCTCGGGGACCCTTGGGCCCATCTTGGTGCCATCTTGGAACATCGCGGCCTCCAGGGCCGTCTTCAGGCCATCCTGGGTCGTTTTGGAGCCGTCTTGGGAGCCTCTGGAGCGCTCTTGAAGCTATCCTGGAGGCCTCTGGGGTTCCTCATGGAAGCATCTTTAGCGTTCGTTCGGATCTCGTGGCAGGTCTCTCGGGGGCTTCCTTGCAGCAGTTCCGAGGCCACTTGGTGCCCGTTTCGGTGCCTGTTCGGAGCCGATTTGGGGCCTCTTGGGGGCCTTTCGGAGGCCTCTTGGGGGCCTCTTGGGGGCCTCTTGGGTCCTCTTGGAGGCCTCCCGGGGCCTCCTGGGGGCCTCTTGGGGCCGAGGGCCGGAAAAGTCCAGTCGGATCCCCCGTCGGGCCCTCCTTAGAGCTGTCTTGGGGCCCTCTTGGGCCGTCTTGGAGGCCTCTTGGGCCGTCTTGGGGCCCTCTTAGGCCATCTTGGGGCCGTCTTGGCGGCCTCTTCGGCCGTCTTGGGGCGACTTAGGCCGTCTCGGGACCAACTTGGGCGTCTTGGAGCGATCTTTGACCGTCTCGGGGCCCTCTTGGACCATCTTGGGGGCCTCCTGGGGCCGTCTTGGAGGCCTCCTGGGCGTCTCGAGGCCCCTGGAGGCCCCTTGGAGGCGCCGGGGAGGGGGTATCAAAGAAGGGGGCCCGATGTCAGGGAGGTGTGCGGGGCGCTTTTCGGGGGAAGGGGGTGGTAGATTCTTATTCTGTGTATATATACATACATAGATCTAATTACAGGTGTATCTATATGTATAGATCGACATATATATATATATATATACATATATATACATTGATTGTGGGATCGGTGGGTCGTGAGGCAGATCTATGCAGCTACATTCATCTGTTTTTCACATGTGGGCCAGCGTCGGCCCCAGGCAGTGAGTAACTGCACCGTGGAGGTAAACGCATGCCGTGCAAGCTATGCGGTGTAAGCCATGCTGCGAGCTTTGCGATGGGAGCGATGTGCTGCAGGCTCTGTGGTGTGAGCTACACGGTGGAAGCTATGCTGGATAAGCTGTTTGGCTTGAGCTGCTTGGTGTAAGCGATGCTGCATAATCTACGCGGTGCGAGCCACGCCGTGAACGCGGAGCGATGCAAGCTGTGCGGTGACAGCCTCCCTGTGAAAGGTAGGCAGTGTGCGCCACGTGGTGTGGGTTACGCGTTGCAAGCCAGGTGGTGTCAGCTATGCTGTGCACGCTATGAGAGGCCAATTGAAGTCGGGCCCTGTCCCCCCGCAGGGGGTACCTTCACAACTTGTCAAAAAATAGCCCGGGGACAATTTTGTTTGAGTATGCTTGGGCATTGTTGGAATATGCTTTGGTTATCCTTACCTTTTCGCCCACAGTCAACCCCTGCAGGGGGACAGGCCCGACCTTACTGGACTCTGCTCTGGCTATCCTGTAATGTTTCGCCCGCAATCAGCCCCTGCAGGGGGACAGGCCCGACCTTGCTGGAATCTGCTCTGGCCGTCCTGTAATGTTTCGCCCGCAATCAGCCCCTGCAGGGGGACAGGCCCGACCTTGCTGGAATCTGCTCTAGCTATCCCTAGCTTTTCGCCCACAGTCAGCCCCTGCAGGGGGACAGGCCCGACCTTACTGGACTCTGCTCTGGCTATCCTGTAATGTTTCGCCCACAATCAGCCCCTGCAGGGGGGACAGGCCCGACCTTGCTGGAGTCTGCACGGGGCGCCTGCGACGCGGCCGCGCGCGGGCATCAGGGGGGGGCCCAGCGGGGCGAGACTCCTCGGGAGGAACAGGCCCGCCTGGCTCACGCAGGGCGTGCCCACGGGGCGCCCGCGAGCGGCCGCGGGCTCCGGAGGAGCGAGGAGGAGGAATGAGGAGGAGGAGGAGGGAGGGAGGGGGAGGGAGGAGGAGGGGGAGGAGGAGGGAGGAGGGAGGGAGGAGGAGGGAGGAGGAGGCGGGGGGAGGAGGGAGGAGGAGGGAGGGAGGAGGAGGAGGAGGAGAGGAGGAGGAGGAAGAGGAGGAGGAGAATGTTGCAGGCCCAAAAGGCAGAACAAAACCGTGGCGCTCAGCAAAGCGCGGGCCAACGTGCCCTGGCCAACGGCCAAAGTGGCCAACGGCCAACACCAAGGGCACACGCGCAAAAAGAGGGGATCACGGACACAAGCTGGGACCTGACCTCCGGCCTCCTTTCCTTGACTAACTCCCAATAGCGCCAGAAACGCTGTGCCTTAGGGAGGAAATCAAGGAAAAGAAAGCAAACCAAGGACCGCCCTACACCCCGCGCCAAAATGGCGCACGGGGGTTCGGGATCGGCGCCCAAGGGACAATACACGGAGCGTTGCCCAGCGCCCGCACCCTCACAAGCACGGCAACAGTGTGCCCGCGGCAAAGAGCACTGCAACCAAGAGGTTACAGGCGGAAAGCCGCGGGCCCCGCCTCCGTGGTCGTCAAACGGCGGTGCACCTCAGACCAGGAGGTGCCACTGGGGTCTTCCCGCGCCCAGGCCGCACCTCTTGGCCGAGGTGGCAGGGCACTAAAAGCCCTGGCCTGACAGCTGCAACGGCAACAGCAGCGGCAGCAGGGAGGGGGAGGGGGAGGGGGCCACTCTCCGGCCCAGGAGCGCAAACAACGTCCACCCTGGAACCTAATCCAGGGCCGTGCCGCAACTCCCAAAGAGGACAAGGGCGACGGATATAACGACGAAACGAGACACGAAGGACGACAACGAACGACCACGAACCTCCCAGCGGGAGGTGCCGCCCTCCGCCCTATCCTTATCGCACCCGGAACGCGGGCGGGATAAGGATCTGACATCATCGGACCCACACCGCATTCAGGCGGTGCCACACGGAGCCCAGGCAGCACCGCTTATCCGCGGTGGCGAGGCATTTGAAAATTGCCTCGGCCTGACGGCAAGGAGGAGGAGGAGGAGGAATAGGAGGAGGAGGAGGAGGAGCAGGAGGAGGAGGAGGAGGAGGAGGAGGAGGCGGAGGAGGAGGAGGAGGAGGAGGAGGAGGAGGAAGAGGCGCCAACGCGGCGAATTCTTGGGAAACCAACCCAGCGCACGGGGCGCCCACGAGGCGCCCACGAGCCCGCACGGGCGCCACCGAGCAAGATCGATTGATTGATTGATGGATCGCGAATCCGATTCGACGCCCGTCTCAAAGCGAAAGCTGCACTGCACCAGTCCCCCCCCCCCCAGTCTCCTGATTGCCCGAAGGGTGGTCGTGTGAGAATGCGTGTGCTCCATGCTTTTTCGCCTTTTGGGCATCCGTTGGGGGGGGCCCTCGTCGGGCCTCTGTGGGGAGGCCCTCGTCGCCACGTCTGCGTTTGCCTCGAAATTTCTGACTGGCTTGATCGCGCTCCGCGAAGAGGTCCGGGGCTTGATTTTGAAGGGCTGGCGCCCCCGACAACTGGACGTCATGACACGAGTCGCAATGAGCGTTTAGAGACCCGGTCTGGATGCTGTTGCGGCGTCGTGATTGTCTACAGTGTCGGAGATCGGAGGACTAGAAGGGGGGGCAGGAGGAAGACCAGAGTAAGCCCAGCATGCACCAAATATGTTGCAATGCGCCCCCCCTCCACCTCCTCATGAGCCAGTGCAAGAAGTTATTTACGCTGCGGCGAGCACCGGCTGAAAAGATCGAGGCCAATTGGGCATGCATCGCTGGAGCCCAATGTCTCTTGAGGCACGCATCAGAGGCCGTATCAATCTCCGACCCCACCAGGTGATACAACGAGTTCTGTCTGAGGTGGACCCGTCCTTCGTTCTCGGAGCTGGTGGAGGCTCTCAGAAAGTTGTGCGCGGCGTCGGTGCGAGAGCACAGTTTTCAACAAGGAAGCGGTCTCCATCCGGGCAGCGGCTGGACATCCCAGCGAGAGGGCGTGTTTGAAAACGACTTGGTCCCGACCTCGTAGATGTAGTTAAGCATTTGGAATCCGGAGAGACTAACACGTGCGTGATGAAAGTGTGGCCTATCTTGGCTATTGTGGCTCTTGGTTGCGACTCGTTGCGCTATGCTTGGATCCACACGAATACAGAGTGCCGTTTTGCGGTATCAATGTGTGGTTTGACTATTGCAGCTACTACGCGGGACTGACTGGCGGCGTCGTTTGCTAGGGGTGCGGGGCGCAGGGCTTGCCGTGGGTTCGCCGTGTTGGCGTGGTGCACTTGGGCGCGTCGAGAACAAACGGTGCGGCGATGTCTCTCCTTCTCTCTCTATACACATCTATATATATATGTATATACACCTATATTTCAATACATAGATATGTTCACACACACACATTTATGTGTATATATATATATATATGTATTCATATGTGTCTGTAAATATGTATACGTTGAATTGGTGTCCCTCTCCTCTTCTCCCTCCGCTGCCGCCTCCCTTTCTAACAAAAAACGTGCTTCTCGCATGGACTGCGCGCGCGCGTTGTTCTCCCCCCCCCTCCGTGCCCAGCGCCCACGCAGCGAGCGAGGCCTGGCGTCGACGCGGCGCGCGCCGTCCCCCGGACCTCGCACGGGGCAGCCTCTGCCGAGCGCGCCCGCCGTGCCTGCCGAGGGCCTCCCCGGCTGCATGCGTTTTCTCATGTGGCTTGCGCTGCTGTCCAGATGCTGTGGAAGTGGTGTTTGTTTGTTGGTGTGCAGTCCTGATTCCGAGGCTTTGCCTCCTCCCGGCCTCGTTCTGAGGCTGCGCCCCCCTTTTCCTCTCCCATCCCTGGTGAATTCAAGCTTCGCGCGGCCCGCTTAGCTTCGACCGGAAGAGGTGCGCTCTCGACCCGCGAATCAAAACATTGTTTGTTGGTGTGCCGTCGAGCAGCCGGCCAAGTAGCCTTTCTTCGAAAAGCTCGGGGCAGCGTTTCCGAGCCAGCTTGGCGGACAGCATGCCCAGTCTCTTGCGCGCGTTCGCCCCTCCAGCGTTCACATCAAACTGTAGCTTGGGTTTGTTTTAAGGAGCTTCTGGGAAGCCGGCCAAGACCTCTTGATAGTTTTTTTCATCGTAAGTTCGGCTGGCTGTGCTATTTGCGTTGGTTACATGGGCGACACGGGGTCGTCTGCGCCGACGTTCGTGCGCAAGTTGCCCGCGCAATGTAGCGCGTATATGCGCCTTCGTCTCCAATATGGCGTGCCGCGCCGGCGGCTCGCGTAAGCCACCGCGTAAGGTCGCTATGTCACATCGCGTAAAACCCCTGTTTTGATCGTCGCTCACGTGTCGTCTGCACGTTGTCTAAGTCTTGTGCAACTTCCCCCACGGGAGAGGTGTGCCGCCAGCTCTTGCGGTGCACATGCCGCAGTGCGTCGGGCCGCCGCCGCCGTGCCGAGGGAGCCGGGTGCATTGCCCTCCCCGCGCCGCTCGCGGGGCCGACGTGGTGCGGGCCCCCTGCCGCAGGAGACGACGAGTCGCTGCTGTCACGCCTCGAGGCCGGGACGGGGTCGGTCAGAGTGGGCAGGTTCCCAGAGATCCGAGGATCGATTTTTTTCAATCCGGCGCTTTTTTTCAGATTTCGGCTTACAGGGCTCGTTATCGGGCCCAGGGACCACCAAAAATGGATCTGGGTCGAAAAACCAGGGGCCGGGGTGGAGGGTTTCTCCGAAGGGCTTCGGCGACCGTCCTCCTCCTCCTCCTCCTCCTCGTCCTCCTCCTTTGGGCTCGCCGTGGTCGACTATACGTAAGAGTGACCCGTCGCCGGAGTGGCTTTTTGGTGCGGGCCCATTGGGGTACCCCGATGGCCGAACGCGATGCGATAGCAGTGTCCTTCAGCCACGCGCAGAGGGGGTTGGGGGGGGAGGGCTTGTTAGAAGCACCCCTGCTTCTTAGAAGGCGCGGGCCGTATCTATAGATGTACAGCTGGCGCCTTCTAAGAAGCAGCCTCCTTCTAAGAAGCGCTCCCCCTTCCCTCCACCCACTTGAGCGCGCCGCCAAGTCCTGCCGGCATGTGTTTGGCCCCCCTGCGGCCTTCAAAGAGCCGCGCACCAAGGGTCACTCGTACCCAGGGTCACCCTTGCGTGTAGCCGGCGTTGTAGAAGCGGGTCCTGAGAGACACGGATTCTGAGGCTTTTTTGCTGTGTTGGGGGGCTCGGTGCCCTACACGGGCCCCGGGACTGTCAGAACGCGGCTCAGGATGAAGAGCCGGTCCTGGGGGGAGGTCCCACGGTCCAGGACGGGTTTCCCGCAGGACCCGCTCCCCCATGCTAAGCGGGGGCGGTCAGAGTCGGCAGGTCAGGATGCAAGTCCTGGGACGTTGGGTTCAGGACCGGCGTTGGAATATCCCTGGTCGAGAACTTTCATAATTTGGCGCAGTCCCGCTGAACCCGGCTTTATTCCTGCTTAACCTGGTTTGATCCTGGGCTCAATTCGGCGTCATCTAGCTCAGTGGTTATTCTAATCGGGCTTGATAGCTCCTAGTCTTTCCGACGAAGAACTCACAGGAATTGCCTTCTGAGGCAGCAGAAGCTGTAGCCAGAGCTTCTGGGACGGGGACTGCCTTGGTCTCGAGAGCGGGCTCGGTGTTTCCTGGGTCACTCTGGGGTGCTTCCCCCTGGCGTTCCTCGTGGACCTGGGCGCCAACTGAGGCCCAGAAGCGGCTTCATTCATTCCTCACCCATGGGTCCCTGTGGCCCTGGTCTGACTGCAGTCGCTGCGGGCGACAGGAAGGAGGATCTGGCACGAAGACAGAAAGCCGGGATGGGCCAGGGGGGGTAGGGAAGGCGGCGGTGGCCATTGAACAAGGGAACAAGTCACGAGCAGAGCAACACGCACCACGACCACGACCACGACGCCGACGACGACGACGGTGCAGGGAAGCAGGACGAGGATATTGACGATGAGGAGTAGCGACATCCTGGAGGGACAGCAGCAGGAGCAGGACGGCGGCGTTTCGTCGTTGTCGGCACTCATGCCAAAGTATCCAGCTGCCTGCGGTAAGTCCCACAGCTGTGGCTGCTCAGCATTCTGGATTGCAAATGAATCGCCCTTGCCCAGACGTTGGGTCGCGGTTGTCCCGATCGTTGTCCTGATGGTTATTCCAACGGTTATCCCAATGGTTGTCCCGATGGTCGTCCAGAAGATTGTTCCGATGTCTGTCCCTATGGTTGTCCCGATTGTTGCCCCGATGGTTGTCCAGATGGTTGTTTCGATCGTTGTTTCGATGGTTGACCTGATGAAAGGCCCGATTTCTGTCCCGATGGTTGTCCCGAGTGTTGTCCAGGCGGGTAATCCGATGGTTGTCTCGATAGTTGTCCCGACGGTTGTCCCGATGGTTTTGTCGATATTTGCCTCGATGGTCGCCTCGATGTTTGTCGAGAGTGTTGTGCCAGGCAGTGATGGCAAAACGATATGCTCTGCGAGGCTACAGTAGCAGATGAAAGCGCCCTGCGACGCCATAATACCCAAAGACGTTTGGCCTGGTCAGAATGGCAACAACATGTGATCTGTGAGGCGATCTTCGCACAGTTTAACGCACGAGCGAACACACATCGGAGCATCCATGTGAATTTGTGCATCCATGAAGTTGCCAATCCATTTCATATGTATATATACACATACACAAGTACATCTATCTATATATATATATATATATGTGTATACGGTATGTGTGCCAATATACACATACATTTACATACATATGTATATGTATATATATATATATATATATATCGATATGTGTGTGGTCATCCCTGTACCCAGTTATCTGCATACATTGATATATGCATGTCTATGTCGGTCTCGCTATCTATCTACCGATGTGACTATCAGTCGATCTGTCGATTCAACTACTTATCTATTGAGGCAACCATCGAGACGGCCAGAGGGATAACCATCAGGACAACCATCGAGACAATAACCGGGACGGCAATGTATCACCTAAGGACGTGTCAGAGAACATATTTCATTCTGGAACCCTTGGTTCCCGTTAAGCTTTACAAGGTAGTTGTGTGTGGAATGCTTTTCATGGTTGCTCATGGTTTTCTGTTGCTTCTACATTGGCTGCCATGAGGTTCTCATTGTTCTTTTTGCTGCATGTGTTTGCATCGGTTGTGTGTTGTCTTGGTGTTACCCCACAGGGCGCATGTTTAATGATGTGCCCCAAAGGGCGCATTTTTAATACCCGTTCTCCCCGCAGGAGATATTATTCTTGTGCCGGGGCGGATTGATTGGTATTACAGCCTCGCAGAGCGCACTATTTTGGCGATGATCGCTTCGCAGATCGCATGTTGTCATCGTCATGGCGGGGCAGAACGTTCTCGGAGCATCATCGCCTCACAGCGGAGCGTATCTTTTGGCAGCTGTAGCCTTGCAGAGCACACTATCGTGAAGGCTGTACGGCCGACGGCAGGACCTCCCTTGGGTCTCCGGGATCCCCACCCGGGATCCAGGGGCCCCGGGCCACGCCCGGGGCCACGGCCACGGCCACGGCCGCGGCCGGGGCCAGGGGCCGGGGTCGGGGCCGAGGCTGGGGCCAGGGCTGGGGCCACAGCCGGGACCAGGGCCGGCTCCCTCCCACGGGGGGAACCCCTCCATGCATGCTCCCCTTGGGGTACCACCCCCCAGGACTCGCAGGGACCCCCGGGGGGCCGTAAGCTGGGTCCCCCCCCCCTGCCCCCCCCTACACCCCCTCCCCCCCGACTACTGAGCCCGCGCCCCACAGGCAGGGAAGGGAGAAAGGGAAGGGAGTCGACTTAACTCCGACGTTTGTTTCCTCGGTTCGTTCCTCAATTCTCCTTGGGGCTGTCGACGACGACGACAGCGTCTCATGCACGCCGAAATGCCAGCTGATTTTGCTGTTAAGGCTGGGAGAGCCATCGGGACAACCATCGGGACAACCATTGGGACAACCATCGGGACGTTCATCGGGACAACCATCGGGACAACCAGCGGGACAACCATCAGGACAACCATCGGGACAACGATTGGGACAACCATCGGGACAACCGTCGGGACATTCATCGGGACACTATCGGGACGTTCATCGGGAGAACCATCGGGACAACCAGCGGGACAACCATCGGGACAACCAGCGGGACAACCATCGGGATAACCATCGAGACAGCCATCGTGACAACAATCGGGACATTCATCTGGACAATCATCGGGACAACCAGCGGGACAATTATCGGTTCAACCATCGTGACCACGATCGGGACAACGTTCGGGACAACCATCGGGACATTCATCGGGACAATCATCTGGATAATAATCGTCGGCATAACCATCCGGACAAGCATCGGGGCAACCGTCGGGACAGCCATCGAGACAGCCATCGTTACAACGAACGGGACAACCATCGGGGCAATGATCGGGACGCTTTGTGATCACCGCCCGCACTGTTGGTGTTCGCAGCAGATGGCGACGACCCCAGACTAGGCCCACAGCGGTTGCAAGACGTCTCAGCACCGTCTCGGACTATCGGGGCGCTTCTTGGGTGCCTCGTGGAGGCCTTGTCCCAAGCTTCTTTATGTTTTCGATTTTTCAGGAGGAAGAAACACACAGACAAATACAAGTCAATTCCCAGGACAATTTCCAAGTTATGGGAAGGGGAGGGGGAAGGCGACGCTCAAGAAAATATGCAAACATGTAGGGGATCCTGGGATCTGTGTCTAGTTCATCACTTGTGTGCCCCTGGGCCCCGTGAATTTTGCATGGGATGAGCCTGGATGGGGATGGGAGGGTGCCCTGGGCACATCGCAAGCGTGCCGCTGACGTCCGGAGGGTGGCTTCGAAGGTCCAGGGCCGCCCAGCCTTCGCCCGCTTCTGGGGATGACCGCTCGTGCCCAGTCTTGCGCGTGCCCCGAGCACCCGAAGCATGTCTTCGGCGGCGAGCGAGGGGGGGGGGGAAGGGAGAAGGAGAAGGCCTTCTCAGAAGGTGGCGGGGCTTCTCAGAAGGTCTCCGGCCTTCTGAGAGGATTTCTGCGTCATCAGGGAAGGCCCCGAAAAGTTCCCAGAATGCCAGGGGACTTCCGAGCCTTCCGAGAAGGGCCCCTTCTCAATTTTTGAATGCACAAAAACGGGTTTTTGTCTTGTATTCAAAAAGCCAGTTTCTTGAATTCAGAAAAAGTTTTTTGAATTCAAAAAACCATTCTCCCTTTCCCCCCTCGCTCGCCGCCGACTGCTGTCCTGCGCAGTACCGCGGGGGTACCTCCCGCGCCACTGGCCCGTGCTGCAGGCGCAGTCCTCGCGGTGCGAGGGAGGTGAAGGCGGGCCGCGCCTTCCCCGCGGCAGAGAGCCAGCTGGCCGTCCGCCGTGGGCCCTGGGATCGTCAGTCCAACGATGAGCCCTGCAATGCCTTGGCATCGGTCGGACGTGTGCATCTTTCTCGGCGAGGACCTATCGAGGAGCATCCTGGATCATCGAGCAACAAAAAGCACCTACGAAACCGACAGGTGCACGGGGAATGGACGTCCGAGCGATGGCGAGATGCTCGAGGCGTGCCTCGCAGAGCCTCGGCGCACCCACCCTCGCCTGCCCGAAACCTTCTGAGCTGACCTCTGGTGGTGGTGGTGTTGGTGGTGCTGCTGCTGCTGCTGCTGCTGCTGCTGCTGCTCGTCCTCCCCCTCCTGCTCCCCTTATACTGCCGCCGCCACCGCAGGCGGATCAGGCGTGCCTGCGCGGGGAACTGCAGAACTCGGTCTTCCGGATGCTGCTCAACTGGTCCGTGTACGCCACGCGCTCGGATCCACTCCCTGCCTCGTTGACCGACTTGTTACGCTCGGCCCTCTGGAGAAATTCTTCGACGATGTCAAGGGTTAGATGCAAATGTCAGCCACAGCTTGTTTCCCCAGTGCTTGTCCAGGATCCCTCGATCGTTTTGCGAGCGCCTGCCAATAGAACTTATGCGTGAAGCATTGGGCTACCGTTCCAAACCAAGTATCTTGTCATTGAGATAGCCAGACAGTCAACATCATCAGAGAAGGCAGAACCTGCTCTGATCCAGATTCGAGATTGCAGAAATATGTGGCGACGCATCCAGGTAAAACTGGGCCTGGAGCCGTTCTTGGTCAAACATGCAGCTCCAGAGGATTCGGCGACGACCAGCTTATGTAGAAGGGCCCCCCCTTTGAGGCCGACGACTTCAGCAGTTGTATCGAAAGCACATCCGCATCCGACGATGCCCCCCCCCCCCCCCCCGAACCCCCTGACAGCCGTCCAGATGCATCAATCACAGCAGGAACCCTCCGAAGAACCTTCCCCCCTCTGGGTCTGGTTGGTGGATGCATTGTCCTGCCTGTCCTCTCGGCATCCGTGCCACGTGCACTTTTTCCTCACTTCCTCCTCCTCCTCCTCCTCCTCCTCCTCGTCCTCGTCCTCCTCCTCCTCCTCCTCCTCTCCTCCTCTTGGTCGTCCCAGTGTGATCCACTTGCGCGCCGTTCCCGCTTGTGTTGCCCTTGGCTCCCAGAGCACAAGTACAGCTTCTCACTGGGAGCCGACTGCAGTGGCCGGCGTGTAGCCAATGCCAAGGCTCTTCTTTAAGCCATCATGCCCACGCACCGCTTGGTGTATGGTTTGTCAGGCAGTCTGCTTGATCTCGCTAAGCAAGCTAAGATACAGCAAACATGGTCGATAGTTAAACAAGTCTCGTAACCAGAGCATTCCCTCGGGAAGGAGGAAGATGGGAGGGAGGACTTCGGGATGCCCTCCTGGCCGTGGCGTAACGGACTGGGGGCTGCGCGCAGGAGATCTGTCCATGGTTTCTGCATTTTCAGCCCTTGTCTTTAGGCTTGGTGAGTAAGGCGGGAGGCGTTCACTCAACGTTTGCCCCTGCCGCTTCGCTCTCCCCATTTTGTCCTCCCTCCCCTCCTCCTTTACAGTCTGCCTTGTGCCTTCTCTGCGTGTGGTATCTCAGTTTTGCATCTTTCAGCTCGTTGTTTGTAGTATATGTTGTTCGCCTCTGCTGCACATGAGACTGGGTTGTTCTATCGTCCGTGCCACACCACCACCACCAACAACAACAATCAGTTTAACACTGTTCGCTTCGATTCAACAATAGCACCACCACCAACAACAACATCAACACCAACACCAACAACACTACCGCCACACCATCAACAACACCACAATCAACACCACCACCAACAACAACAACAGCAACACCAACACCACCAAGAACAACAACGACAGCAATACCCAGATCGTGCGGGTTGCCGAATCCCTGCCATCTCCCCCGCCTTCGGTAGCAAATCATGGGAGCCAGGTATACCCTCGCAATTCCGTCTTTAGCCTCGATTGGCGTCGATTGGCGTCTTGGAGTTGATGAGATAGCAGATAGCGCCGCTTTAGCGTCGGTTAGCTTCGGTCTAGCGTCGATTAGCGTCGATTTAGCGTAGACTGGCCTCGATTCGCAAGAGCCGGCAAGATGGTATAGGAGGCTCCCATGAGTTGCCACCGACTCCTCCCCCTCCTCCAGGGCTCCTCCCAGGTCCGACACGGGACGGCGGAGGGGCCCACGGGGGGGGCTGGATTCCTGTGCCGCCCCGGCCCCCAGCGTGCGCGACAGCGCGCATGGGCGGCGAGGGCGTCGGGGAAGGGGGAGAAGGACGGCGTGCGTGCGCGCGGGAGCTCGCGCGGGAGAGGAGGAAGCGGAGGAGGAGGAGGAGGAGGAGGAGGAGGAGGAGGAGGAGGAGGAGAAGGTGGAGGTGGAGGAGGAGGAGGGACAAAGGAGGAGGAGGAGGAAGAGGAGGAGGAGGAGAAGGAGGAGGAGGAGCAGGAGGAGGAAGAGGAAGAGGCGGAGGAGGAGGAGGCCCGTAGCCATTTTGGCTCAAGTAAAGCATTTCTCGAGGTGGTAACAAGAGACCAAGCATCTCGGGGCCCCAACAGGTGGCTGCCAAGCCAGGGGTGACCCATCTTCTTCTTAATTTCCCTTCGGCTGGCTCAGGTGCCATGTCGGAGGCAGCATCCAGTACATAATACAGTACTTTCTCCTGTTCCCACCGCCCAGTCCTCCGCAATAATGGGAAGCAGGCCGAAAGGCCCGAGAGACTTCTCTTGGTCTTGTGTGGGGCGCCAGGCGGTGATCAGCCGCAATCTTCACTGGTGCTGGAGGTGCGGGTCAAATTGGACGAAGACAGCGGCGGGGTGGCACGCAAGCAGCAGCGGCTTCAGCCCTCGCGGAGGCGTGCTCCAACATGGCGAAGGCAAGGGGGACGGCAAAAAAGGAAGTGGCGGCAAGAAAGGGGGTGGTGGCAAGAAGGGCCGCGCCAAAGGCCAGGTTGGGCGCTCTGGCTCGCCTGGTGCTGGTGATGCTGCTCCAGCTGCAGGACGTGCCAAACCTTCCAAATCTGATTCAAATGAGGACGTCAACATGGAAAGAAACCGCAAACCAACTGCCGTGGGCCAGGCGATCCAGGTCTTACAGCGGGCCTACGACGTCCTCACCAGACAGGAAGATGGAGGAGACAGTGAAGCTGCAAGGGCTATGGCTATGCATTCTAAACTCCAAGATCTACGAGGTGCCAGAGACAGTCCCACATCCGAGAGTCAACGCTTCTTGGCTGCCAGTGGGGAGCTCGCAAAACTCGAAAAGCAGGTGGAAACACACAGCACAGCGGCTGGATACTACGGTACACAATGCACAGGCTCATTTTCGGGATTACGCACGAGCTCTCGAGGAGACGCGTGCGAGCGTGGAGGATTCGAGGACAAGTCTGGCGATTTCAAGCCGGAGTGTCGTCGAGCCCAGGAGGAAACAGATGCAGCTGCAGCCAGGAGACCTCGCAGCCCATCGCCTACCCCAGAGACACTATTCAGCCTTACCAAGGATGACATGGAGGCGGCGGCAGTCCAGCGAGCTACTGCCATAGGCAAGGACCCAGAGAGCATCAAGCAGGCCCTGGCAGCGCTGAGGGGTTTTGTTTGGAGCGACAAGTGGATCAGTGGCACCGCCGGCGCCACCGGCAGAGCCAACCCCAGCATCCGCTCAGCCTGATCAGCAGTTAGCTCAGTAAGTATTAGCGGGAGCGCCAGGGCCGCCGCCAGGACAGCCAGGCCGCAAACATGATGAACAAGCCGAAAAGAGTGCAGGCCGTGATCGAGATTCTGAGGCTAAGCGCGCCTCTCGCAGCCCCCGCAGCCCAGGCTGGGGACAAGAAGGAGCGTGTTCAGCAGTAGTTTGAGTTGGACATCAAGTCAGACCCCTTTCTGCCCCGTCGTCCTCCTGAACCCCCCTCACCCTGTGTCTGGGGACCCTTCCTTCCATTTCTGTACGGTGAACGCCGCGGGGTGGAGAAGGGCTTTGGACCATGTGAAGGCTACGAAGGCCCACGTGCCCACATTATCCTGGTCCAGAACACAAGTTGTCCCAACCGCAAGTTTTAAAGTCTATGGCAGTGGCCCAAAAGCTAGGATGGGGAAGCTTTTGGACCCCAGTCCAAGCCACTGAGTCAGGTTTTCCTTCTGGTGGAGTAGCGATTATTTTGAAGAGCTATCTTGCTGTGCGGCGAGAATCCGGCAAAATTGCTGCGCCCCCTGGTCGGGTCCCACCTTTCTGCTGTGCGCAAAGTTTCGGAGTTATTTCGATTTATTCGAACAGCTGGCACACGTCTGTTGGGATGGGGAAAAAAACATGGGCGTTTGCCGTGAGTCAGGTGATCATATTCTAATGCGCGGGTTGCCCATCGTGGCGGGCGACGACTTCAATCCAACGCCAGGGGAGTTCGCCATGCGATGCGCACCCGACCGACTTGGAGGAGAGGCAATCTTCGACCCGAGCGCCCACGCTTGCACGGTGAACGATTCGCACCGCACTGTGGAGTATTTTCTGGTCAGCAAGCCACTTGCCAAAGCTTTCCTCTCCGTTGATGCAGACCTTTCGAGCGACGCATTTCCACGCGAGGCGGTGGGTGTGTATTTCACGTCGGAGGCCTTTTTGCCGCGGGTGAACCAGCTTGATAAGTATGAGACCCCGCCAGTCAACCTGCCCATTGAACCTTCCCCACCTCTGCCTGATTATTCTGACCTCGAGTTGGAGATGAACCAGGCTGTGGAGCAGTGCAACGGAAAACAGGATTTCGCACCAAACGGCCAACAGAAACCGGATTTTGAAGTTCAGTTCAACAGCGTTTACTTGGAATGGCGCGCCTGGCCCTGGGGAGAACTCAAAGAGGCCTTGGCCCCCCCCCCCCGCCGCGCCGAGGGCGGGCGAGGGGGTCTCCTGTGTGAAGTCAACCAGGTGGACCTCAGGGGCCTCCTCATCACTCGGGGCAGCCCTCGTTCACCGGAAGCGCGCTGCATGGGTTGGCTGGCCAGGCGACTGCAGGATTTGCGCGCCCTTCTTGCTGGCCCCGCTCGCAGGTGCTCCAGGGGCGCTTGCGCGCCGGGCACGTTAAAGAAGCGTGGCGGACCCCTCGCCAGCTTCTGGCCCCAGGGCCGCGCCGTGGCGCGCGTTTTTGTTTCGCAGGCGTTTTCCTTTCTACTCCAGGCCTGTTGGGCTTGGGATAGAAGGGGGGATGGGACATGGGCATCTCAAGTAAGTGCATCGAGCGCCCCTTTGAGCTGGAGGCCCACTGCCTGGCCAGGGAGCGCACTAAACAGAGAGCTGATTGGAGCAAATGGTGCGCGGAGGTCCTGGGGTCGGAGCTCGGAGAGCTCACCAGTGCACCGAGCTTGCTGTTGATCATTAAGATGAGGTGGTGACGGAGCCACACGGAAGGATCACCTCTTCCTTTT